TAGGTTTTTATTTTTTAGATAATTCACTCTATCTTTCTCTCTCATCTACCTACCAATAAAAAATGGACAAGTATAACATTTTTTAGGTTGAAATAAAGTCAATTAAACACATCTAATTGACAATTTTTATGGAAATAATTTCTAGGTAATTCAATTGCTTAGAATTTATTTTTTTTTCCATGTAAATTTCATTCTCGTAATCAAACACACCTTAAGGGTTATCCGATCGACCTTTTCTTACATATTTTGCTCAATAAACGAAAGAATAGGGTAAATCACAAAATATTAATTATTAGTCCCAGCATATGTTACCAAGTTAGTAAGAATTCTTTTCATCACTTCTTTCTGTTCATTAGATTGGAGCTAACTAAGGTTCCGTTTAGAAGGGTTTTTGCTTTTGCTTTTACTTATAATATAAAAGTTTTCTAAAAAGTGACCTTAATGAATGTTTGAAAGTTAATTTGTACAAAAGATTTCAAAATTTTCTAAAAATTCTTCTAATTAGAAGAAGTACTATTTTTAAAAATTAATTAAATGAATCAAAAAAAGAAACTTTTGGATTTTAAAAATTTCTTTAACGAAGCCTGAGCAACTGTTTACCAAAAACATGTCTCCACAAACTCGTAAGACTGTGTTTGGGGCTACACATGTCCAATGCCAAAAAGTCAAAGAAGGTGGTGACCTAAAGACAGAGGAGTCAACGAGCATAGTCCCAATGAATGGTGCTCATAATTATAATGGTTCTAAGGTAGCAAAATTTCTTGTCAGGTAAGTTTCGACCTATATGAAAGGCACAATAATTTGTCACTATCTCGAAGAGAGGTTGATGAAATAGAAATGTCTGCATATTTTTTAAAAGTCATATCAAATGAGTTTTAAGAGCTTTGAATAATTGGATCCTTCTAATCAATATTATGATATTGGGCTTAAGATTTAACCTAATGGGCTGCCAATTTTTAGTAGGGAAAAAATCACATTTCAAGTGTTATGTTTACCCTCATTCAAAAATCGAGTAAATAATTTGAAATTTCAAGAATCAGGTATATATTTAATTAATTAAAAATATTTATTAAATAAAGATAATTCACAGGTACATGATTAATGGCCACAAATTCATAATTATAGGTCACAGATTTATTTATTGGTCACATATCATCAAATAATAGGTCACAAATTATTTTGTGGTCACAATTCAAAAATCTTGTAATTACATATTATTTCGAAATTACAGATCATTCAAATTAAATGTCACATAAGTCACAAGTTATTATTTACAAATTATTTTTTAGTCACAGACACCTAATATTTAGTTACAAATCAGCCAAATAGTTGGTCACAAACGCCTAATTTTGGTCATAGACACCCTACTCGTCACCGTCATCGCCACCACAACAACCACCACCACCATCATCATCAACAACACAACAATAGTTGGGCACCACTACCTCTAGAACCACCATTACCTCACCAACATAAGCATACCGCCCACAGCACACTACTACCACCATCATTTCCTTTATCTCCATTTACAGTACACCTAACCTCCACTCCCACCAAAGAATCCATAAACCCACCACCACCACCTCAAAAACGCAACAAAACATGCCGAAAAATCACACCACCACACAAAGAACCATCCAAATGCCAGTCGCCAAAATATCGTCCAAATTTTCAAATTAGCATCTTCATTACAGTCGCATCTACAAATTCGCTTCTTCATTATAGCAACTCGCCGAAGTAGGTGAAACTGCACACAACCAATAAAACTCAACCCAAATTTTTAGCATCAGTTCGTGATCAAATTTCCACAGATCGGGACTATCAAATCTCAACAAAAACATACACCCACAAAAACCAACCACTACACCATCACAATCGCTGTCGCCACCTCCAAATCCAACCACCACCATTCAGATCATCACTACAACACTCAGATCGTCGTGCGAACTGAGCGTCGAAGACACAAGGCAATCTTTGAAAACTGGATGACAAATGACTGGGTCTTGTTATGTTGTGCGAACTTTGCTATCATGTTGTAGTCACTGTTGGCAAGGTGTTGTCGTCGACAGTGATTTGGTAGTGTATAAGAAAAAGAATAGAGAAACGAGAGAGTGTAGAGAGAGAAGAAAATAATAATAATTAGAGTTTGGTGGGTGGTTTTATAATTAAATTAATACCTGATATTTAAACAAATAAACTTCATACCTGATATATGAATTGTAAAATTTAAACACTTGTTGTCATGAAATTTCCACTTTTTCGCCTTTCATCCGAGTTTGGCAATTGAATAAATGCTTTTAGACCAAATTGTCTTTGACTATGGACCACCTAGGATCAACGTTGACGCTGGATCCCAATTCCTTGTCCTAACAACGGACCAAGTCAATTAGTCACACCAGTCGTGTAATTCAAGTAAAAAAAGGATGCCGTGCTCCAAATTGGTCTCCTCCTTGTGCACCAAAGTCTAAAATAGTATAAATGCATTTGACGAAAGATTAACGGTTACAATAAAAGAGTAAGATTATAATTTGACTCATGTTAGGTACGCAACATTGAATAGTAATAATAAATGTGACATAATTTAAAATTTATTTTCTCAAACTTTATATTGTTGATATACACTACTAGACAGTTATGGTGTATGTTTGGTAAGTTTTTTCCGTAAATTATAAATTATGAATTCTGTAGATAAAATAGTTTAAAACTTGATCAGCTTATAAGTTTGAAAAAATTTACCAAACATGGTCTGTGAAAGGGCATTATGGTATTTTTAACAATATCCTACGCAAGCCATAACGTATTGTGGACCGGAAAGCCATTTTAGAATCCAGTTCAGAGCAAATTTAGGGGATTTTAATACTTTTATGCCGTGTTTTAAGGATGTCCTTTTTCAACGGATTTAAAAATTTTCCCTAAAGGAAAATTAATGAGGCAGGTCACCCTTCCAACCCGACAAGATTGGCTCATAAATATCAATTAATTTACTTGTACAAAGTAGGTAGACAAAATTTGTTGATAAAATAAGTGTTGGCAAGATTTAGACCTTTGATTTGTTTTGATTTCAAAATCTGGTTATGAAATGAGTGATATATATTTTGCCAACTCATGTTTTGTCAACCTCCTTTGTACACATGACATCACTCGTGTCCATAAATATTGTTATGTCAATTTATCGAGTGAAGTGATTTACTACAAATAGAAAAACACTATTTTATAAGGACCTCGATTTACAAATACCATAAAGATTGTAACTGCACGAGCACTTTAAAAATAAGGATGAACCATGCATTTAGAAGTGATTTTTGACGCAGGAGCTTGTATTAATATACCGTTCGGTAATGATTTAAATTTAAATTTAAATTTAAATCAAAGTCAGCAATCAATTTTAATAACATATTTAATGGATCTCGCAACTTTTAACCACACATTTAATTAATTTTTATCAAAACCTACTAAAAACTCTAATTTTAATCGCCACCAAATAAGGGTTAAGTACTAAAGGTTGCAGTTGATGGCTTGGACATATTACTTTCGATGTATTTTCTTTCTTAACCTTTCAAATAGAGTATATTGATTCTTACCTTCAGTTTTTGTTTAACCTCTTTTAGTAGTAATAGAAGATTCTTATCCAAATTATATACATTTATCTTTTTGTAGAGGAATTAAAGGTGAACAAGCATCGGTCCAAAGTTGTGATTGTATGCGTGGCTTGATAAAAATATGACATGTGATATTTTATGCAAATCGTCTAATGAGATTTTGATGCAACTAAAATGGAAGGCTGAACCAAAACTCACTTTTGAAAGGTTAGGATGAAAAGACAACAAGAGCAATATGTTGGGAACCTCCATTGCTATTTTTCCTTTCGTGTAAATTATCGCGAAATCTTTACAAACTCCCCTCGCCTTATCGCTCTGCATTAAAAACAATGCGGGTTTGTTTGGGTTGGGACTTCTAAGAATCCTCAAGAGAGACATCAGTGTCACACGAATATTAGTATCTAATCATTTTATTTGACACATTAACTTTAAATCTATTCATTTAATGTGACATTAACTATAGGTCTAATTAAACATGACATCATTAGAGTCATTTAATTGGACCTATTATAACTATCACATAATGTGTTTAGTACTATAATCATCCCGTTTGTTATTCATTTTTTTAAAAAGAAAATTTCGAACTCATTTGCAACCAAACATATGTACAATTAAATATTTTGCATGTAAAGTAAAAAATTCGTACTTTTTAATTACATGTTTTCTAAAAAAATTATTATTTTAAAATTCATTTTTTGGGAAAATCTCTTTTTAATGACCGTCAAACTTTTCGTGCCATACAGTGCAATACAAAGAGTGCGGGTCCCGTAAAAGTGACACGCGGCAACTCGATGTTGTTAACCTCTGCCAAATATTCTCAAAGCCACGAATAAAGAAAAATAAAATTGAATATAGAAGCAAAAAACATTTTTTCTACTATAAACTAAAACCGAAAATAATAATAATAATAATAAAAGGGTTTAAAAAAAAAAAAACTTTGTTAAAAATACAGTTCCAGAAAATAAGAGGGGTATCTCGATGGAGATTGTGATGAATTTTAAAAGTTATTTTAAATTTAGGTATATTCAATTGATATTCTAATGGATTTTAATAAAATCTATTAAAATTTAATATCATTAATTGAGATATAGTGAAATATAATAAAATCCTTAAAATTTTTAAGTATCTTCAATAATCAGTGAATTTATAAAGATTTCATTAATAAAAGGATTTAAAAATATTTGAATGAATTTCAAGTTTAAAAAATATATGTAACCAAATCTTTGAAATTGCATTATATTTAACTAGATTCTTATTAAATTTGTGAAAATCTATTCAAATTTATTAAATTTATTAAGATCTATAATCTTTTAAAATTCATCGAAAGAGGACACCGTTATAAATTCGCTGCCGCTGGGCCCACGTCCCATTTTACTCTGCCCTTTATTAACGCAGTTCCCCCCTCCATGCAATTCTCGCACATTTCAATCCGTTTAGCAAGTCTCTTTGCATACCGTAGGTTCCGTCTATTCTCAAATCTTCATCCTCTTTTGGATTTCGATTTCCAATTTCTTTTTCGATTAGTATATTTTGATTCTGCATGGTGGGATTCGTGTTCGAGATTTAGATTTGTGTCTGATTCTGTGAAGTAGTAGTTTCAATTTTGTGCTCGTAGAATTATCTTCTTCTGAGGGGTAGGTGTGGGGATTTCAGGGTTGTGTAAGGGTGTGTTTGGTTATTGGTTTGTTGTGACCCAGATCTCTTTTTGCTTCTTTTGAGGGGGTAGCCGGGGCTCCGGCCTCGGCAGGTTTCAAAGCCCCCACCTATACGAAATCCATCTATAAACGTAGAATTTGAATTTGTTGTTTTTTGGTTATCATTCTTTGATTCTTCCGGAGCCGTAAAACAGATCGGGGGAAAGATGCCGGCCTTGGCTTGCTGCATAGAAGCCGCTGTACCTTCGCCTCCAGGCTACACCGTCGCCTGGGATGGCATTGTTCCCACGCCGGAGTCATCCGCTGCCTCCGGCGTCTCTCTGTCGACAAACTCCACAATCACCAACGCCTGGTCACCCGCACATTCGTCCATTCTCTACCGCGTCGACGGGTGGGGTGCCCCTTATTTTACTGTCAATTCCTCCGGAAATATCTCCGTCCTCCCCTACGGCGCGGACACTCTTCCCCACCAGGAGATTGATCTCCTCAAGGTCGTGAAGAAGGCCTCTGACCCGAAAGCTTCTGGTGGGCTCGGGCTTCAGTTGCCTCTTATCGTTCGCTTCTCTGATGTTCTCAAAAACCGGCTCGAATCTCTGCAGTCTGCTTTTAGTTTCGCTGTTCAATCCCAAGCCTATGAGGCTCATTACCAGGGCGTTTATCCTGTGAAATGCAATCAAGATAGGTTCGTGGTTGAGGATATTGTGAAATTCGGGTCGCTCTTCCGCTTTGGTCTGGAAGCCGGATCAAAACCGGAGCTCCTCATGGCCATGAGCTGTCTCTGTAAAGGAAGCCCCGAGGCTCTTCTGGTATGCAATGGATTTAAAGATACAGAATACATTTCTCTTGCTCTGGTTGCAAGAAAGCTGCATTTAAACACTGTGATTGTTCTTGAACAAGAAGAAGAGCTGGACATTGTGATTAATGTCAGCCGGCAACTCTGTGTCCGTCCTGTGATTGGGCTCCGTTCCAAGCTGAGGATCAAGCATTCTGGCCATTTTGGATCCACTTCAGGCGAGAAAGGAAAGTTTGGTTTAACAACCACACAGATTCTCCGTGTTGTGAAGAAACTTGAACATCATGGTATGTTGGATTGCCTGCAGTTGCTGCATTTCCATATTGGATCCCAGATTCCTTCCACAGCTTTGCTGGCTGATGGAGTACGTGAAGCTTCCCAAATCTACTGTGAATTAATCCGCCTCGGTGCTTGTATGAAAGTCATTGACATTGGTGGTGGTCTTGGAATTGATTATGATGGCTCAAAATCTCAGGACTCTGAAATTTCTGTTGGTTACAGTATTGAAGATTATGCTTATGCTGTTGTTCGGGCTATAAAATCCGTGTGTGACCGTAATGGCGTGAAGCATCCTGTGATTTGCAGTGAGAGCGGCCGTGCCATTGTGTCTCACCACTCAGTTTTGGTGTTCCAAGCTGTTTCTGCGAGTTCCTATGCATCTTCTGAGATGCCTTCTTTTGGACTTCAGTACTTGTTGGAGCAACTCACTGAGGATGCCCTTGCTGATTACCGAAATTTATCTGCTGCTGCAATTCGCCATGAGTATGATACCTGTCTGGTCTATGCTGAGCAGCTGAAGCAGAGGTGTGTTCAACAATTCAAGGAAGGGTCTTTGGGGATGGAACATCTTGCTGCAGTTGATGGACTTTGCGAAATGATGTCAAAGGCAATTGGGGTTTCCGATAATGTCCGTTCTTACCATGTCAATCTATCAGTTTTTACCTCAATTCCTGACTTTTGGGGAATTGGTCAGTTGTTTCCCATTATTCCAATCCACAGGCTTGACGAGAGGCCAGCATCGAGGGGGATTTTGTCTGACTTAACTTGCGACAGTGATGGAAAGATAGATAAGTTCATTGGAGGTGAATCTAGCTTGCCTTTACATGAATTTGAAGGCAGTGGAAGTGTTAATGGTAATGGTGGGAAGTACTATTTGGGGATGTTTTTAGGTGGGGCTTATGAGGAGGCACTCGGGGGAGTTCACAACCTGTTTGGTGGCCCAAGCGTCATGCAGGTGATGCAGAGGGATGGCCCTCACAGCTTTGCCGTGACGAGTGCCATCCCTGGCCCATCCTGTGGGGATGTGCTCCGCATGATGCAGCATGAGCCCGAGGTCATGTTCGAAATCCTCAAACACCGTGCAGAGGAATTTGCAGACAATGGTGAAGCTAATGGCAGCATGTCAATTGCCAGTGGCTTGGCCCGGTCCTTCAATAATATGCCTTATCTAGTTGGCTCTGCCTCTTGCAGCTTGACTGCTGCCAATGGTAATAATGGTTCCTTCTATTGCAATGAGGATAGTTTCTCTTCGGCTGCTGATACTGTGGCTGCTGACGATGAGCGGTGGTCTTACAGCGGTGCTTGAGTTTTAATGGAGGTTATGTAGCATCTCCAGTGGTTTCTAGTTTGTCGTTTGAGGTCGTCTGTTTTAAGTCTTTGATTTGAACTGTTTAGTAGCCTTTTCCATTATATTGTTGATTATCCATTTTAGTTTGCTATGAACATGATGTAAGAAGAAAGGCCGAGAGTTGCAATATGTAGAGGAGTGGGAACGTTACCGAATCTGTCTGATCCTTTGCAGTACAAACTTCCCCCTGCTTTTGCGCAATGTTAAACCTGTTGTTAGAAATTTCTTATGAAGTCTTGATTGCTATTTAATCTTTTTTGATTTGTTCTTTATTTCTTTGTCCTCTTTATTCAATTTTGTGAGGTAGCTTGTTTGAATGAATGTTTGAAGGCATCAACTTGGGCGGCCAGTTGAATTGGCAGTGATGACTGATTGGTGGCCCTTACAAATTGACTGCTCTCTATTTAGCCTTGATACAGTTGAGACCTAAGTAGGGCCTTCTAAAATTAGTTTTGATTCTGATTATGTTCTTTTGTGCAAGAAACCAATGAAAATAAAGGTCAGATCTGCTGCATATATCATATTGTGAGATTCCATATTATCATTGTCAGCAGTTTTTGGTGGTTTTTCTGTCCTGTCATTTATGGAACAGCATCCTTGCTTTTGGTAGTAACAAGAAGACACGACCTTTAAATTGATTGTGTAGGGGCCAATTTCTTGAGAGATATCTCTGCAATGCCAACATGTAATCTGTTGCAAATTCACCTGTACGTAACTATCTTGTTTAACTTGTGTGTAAAAGTTTTGAAATACAAGTTTTACTTTTAGAACATTTGCTGCAATCTTTTTATCAATGCTATAATGAGGAGAACCATTTGAGCTTGTCTTGTAAATTCATTTTTGTCATTATATTCGAGCACGTGATGCATGTTAGCTTGGTTAAACTCGTAAAAGGACCGGAGCTAGAGAGCATATGAAACACTGTCTACAGCTCGAACTACGATCCAAATGAAAAAACAATTTCGTACTTGGATATCAACCATGGACTATGTTAACACTTCTCTTTTCTCGATTTTGTGACGTGTTTCATGATTTTCATCAAAGAGACGTGGAACTTTTTATTACTTTTAACTTGTAGTAATTGATGAGGGAGACCATTGTGTTAATTTTGATTTGCTTTTTGCTCATTTTTGGTACTTTTATATCTTCCAGCTGTCTAGTGGACCATCTGTTAGTTTTCTTGTCTATTGATTTCATCTTATGTATAGTTCTTGAAAAGATAACCGTGAGGGAGGGGAATGTTGTCAAATTGCCCAGCGTAAAGCATAATTAGCAAGGGTTTTGAAGTAAAACTGCGATCAGACAGACATTGGACATAGTAATGTGCAATTTTTTTTTTTTTCACAAGATTGATGAAACAAATTAATTTATTGCATGATTGTGACGCGGACAGGTTGCAAATCCCATGTTTATCCGGTTGAGCATGCCCTTTATGAATTTTTCTATTTATTTTTTTTTCTGCACTGGTTACTCTTATTGAGTGTTGCTCGTAACAATCGTGAGACCTTAGGAAGACTACTGGTGATTTCATCGCGTATTTTGGGAAGTAGACTGATTCGTCTCTATGTTTTTACTCCAAGCTAGACTCGTACAGGCTTCGAGCTGGATTTGTGGGCTTATCCTATTGAAGCCGAAATGCCAGTGGCCAATAACTCAAGTAACTGGATGAGAATGTATATGATTTGTGTGATTTGGGAATTTGGAGTAACAAACGGTAACTAGATGACCCTTATATTGCTTAGAATTACTGGCAGGTGTGCCATTGTTAAATAATATTTGTATCAATTAATTAGTTCTGTCAACCAATAAAGCAATAAACCAAACTTTACGGGGCATATATTAAAAAAAAATCCTATCTATTGTACTATCTAGCAAAGTATATTAATGTTTGTAGACAAATGAGAACCCTTTTCGAGCTTCGACTCGGCCACTCCTATATTCCTTCATTGGATTCAAGAATCAAGGGCTGAGATATATGAAACCTTCAAGGGACGGTTGTGTGATTAGTGATTAAGTTAGATAAGCAAAAACAAAAGCTCTCTTTTGACGAGATCTACCCCTCGAGGGTTGTAAAACCATTGATTAAAAAAATAAAAAAACATAGAATATATGTGTGTATCTCCAATCAACAGCTAACCCGAAGCTTTATTAGATTGTTTGAAGAAATATACTTTTGCTGGGCTTTGTAGATTTTAAGCCACAGGATAATTTTTTGGGCCTCTTATGGACCAATATATGGGATGAACTCAAAAAATCTATATGGACCGGAAGCCCAATTCGGTTCAAGTCACACGTGCCAACAAACAAGATGGCGTGCGCACCAAGCACACAAGCGCATCTTAGCCTTTCTTCTTCAACCTTCTTCGCATAAAGAGTTCTGTTCAAGTTCTATTTCATCATCAAAAACTTATCCACTGCAATTCGATTCTCGAGGTATTTCTCCAATACGTTATTATCTCCATACAGATCGATGATTTTGGCTCTACATTTTTAAGTACTTTATTTAGGCTTCAAATTCTTTATTTTTGTGTGGTCATAGATCTAAGCTCCGTCGCTCCCGAACATTACGCTTTTGGATTAACCTTTTTTATTTTTCATAATGAGTTTTTTTTCCTTATGTTTATAGGTGAAATAATACGAACTGAGTTCGTGTTGCGATAATCTCGGAATTAAACATGGTATGCTTTGTGACAATTTCTAATTTCTCGAGTATTTTTTTTTTTTTTGTTTTGTTTTGTTTATGATCAGGTGTTTAATTGCTTATTTATTTTTTGTGAAAAGTTTGATTTTTTTTCTTTTCTTTTTTTTTGTTGTTGTGGTTTCCAAGTGGTATTTTATGGGTATATTTCTGAATTTCTTATATGCTGCTGTTTTGATTATGAACAGTTCTCTTCGTTCTCGAATATGATTATGAAGAGGGGATTAAAAATAATAAATTTAAGGCAGTTTCTCTTGGACTCTTAAAATACTCTGTTACCATTTTACTTATTCATAAGAAGTCTATCATAATGCTAATCAGTGTTATATTTCCTTCTTTACATTATTCTTGTGTCTATTGTCTTTTTTGGACATTCTAGTTTCCATACTGAGCCAAAGTTAAAATGCTTATTATATTCAACAAGTTCTGAAGCTGTTGGCAAGTGCAAGGTATAATTGTAGTAAATGTTGGCAGTTTGGAACCTTGTAACTTTGGAAACGAATAGTCTGGCGTTAGCAAATTTCGTAAATATTAACAATAAAGCAGAAGCTATAGACCGTGCCTCCAACAATAGCAAGTAGATGCAAAAGTCCTTCTCCATAATAACCCCGAATAAAAAAATCTGAAATTAAGACAATCTGACTCGTCTATTCAAGGCTTAATATATCTGGGGTAATGAGGACATTGTTTATAAAATGCTGTTCGTTGAAGAGTTGCTTAACCTTTGAAATAATGGTAAATTAGGAGATGCTGATGATGATTACCTATCTACTAAGGTTACAACCAAAGAATTATTGGTAGCATCACTGTAATACTGTGGTAGAGGAAGATACCTGGAAAATTAATTTCTTGGTCACTGGAGTATTTGAACTATTTAGTATTACACAGTTTTATAGTTGGTAGATCATATAATTAATAAGATTATCATGTCCCAAACCTATTGATTACAAGGAGGACAACTGGAATTCTAAACAAGCTGTGGCTTTCAAGAAAGCTTTTGTTGATATGTTGTTTTTTCACAGATTATCGATATTGATCTTCCTGCTAATGATGTCAAATTTTTGCGTTGTAGTTTTTTGATGGATATGGATATCATGGAACATCATTTGAGCAAACATATAGATGTTACCCTGCATCTTTTATTGACAAGGTTGGAATGCTTCCTTCAGCAACTTTTAATTTGTTTTAAGTACTAATAATTTTCAGTAATAATCTCCTGTATTTTGGTATTATGTTTTATTGAATATTGTACATCGTTCAATTACTTACTTTCAAAACATATCAATTTAATTTTGTAGTCAAACTTAAATGATTTTTGAATTTTCCTTCACTTTTTATTGGTTGCCAGGGTTGAATTTTGTTTTTTATTTTTTGGATCAATTTCACCACACAAGATGGCATATGACCACGTATTTTGTAATAGACAGCTTGAGATATTCAATTTTATGAATTTTGAGGTAATTCTGATTTCTTCCATCTCTGGCTTCTGCAGGCACAGATAGAAAATGGTGACAAAGGTAAGAAATCTATATTCTTCAAATGTAGGCAGTCTATTTATATATTTAGTTGACTATATATAATCTTATTCTTTACTTGCTTTATGCTCTTCAGTTATAATGCCACCATCTGCTCTTGACCGCCTTGGTTAGTTACTCTGGCTTTATACTATTTGGTTTGGATGTAATTATTGTCCACTCCATCACCATTCCTTGTGCTTAGCTGATTATTTTTTGTATCTTTGATCTTAATTAACCTCAATTATTCAGCATCTCTTCATATTGATTACCCAATGTTGTTTGAGCTTCAAAATGCTGCTGCGGAGCGGGTTTCCCACTGTGGGGTTCTGGAGTTCATTGCAGAAGAAGGCATGATATATATGCCTTACTGGGTAAGTGATTGTATTATTTTATGGTTTTGGTCAATTCAGCTAATATGAACACATTACTTTTTACATATTCCTGTAGATGATGGAGAATTTGTTGTTACAAGAAGGAGATTTTGTACGGGTGAAAAATGTGACACTTCCTAAGGGTACATATGTTAAATTGCAACCACACACTAAGGACTTCTTGGATATTTCAAATCCAAAAGCTATGTGAGTGTTTTGAATGATACTGGGATAAATTTCCTCAATTTAACTCTGCTATTACAATTGCTTTGGTCGTTTTCTATTATATTTCAGCACATTCAGTTACAACATACTAAAATGTGGCAATTGTGTAGTTTTTGCAAATCTGAAATATAATTTTTTCCCATCAACTTGCATTTCACCCTAAACCTGGAGTTAATTACTCAGGAGTTACCATGCCCTATGATGAATGAATATTTACTCTTATGTTGTTCAATTTAAAAAGCTTGTTTGTTAGTGCTTAAATTAAAATTTAAGCAGTGGGTCCCACAAAATGTGTGATTAAAAGTGGGGGATACGTCGTAGGCTGTATTATGTTCGATCTTACGTAAAATAATATTACACATAAATTGAAACTTTTTTTTCTTTTTCAATCACACATTTTTCAAAAAAATACCATTCCAAAAATTATAATGCCAAGTAAGGGAACAAAATGACGATTATTCATTTTTTGTTCAATTTAAAAAGCTTGTTTGGGAGTGCTTGAATTAAAACTTAAACAACGGATTCTACAAAATGTATGGATAAAAAATGCAACCCTGCTATATCAACAGGTTCAATGAAAGAATTTAAAATAGGGGGACGCTTGTCATTTTTTCATTTGACAGTTAGGAAAACAAGCACCTGTCACCAAACCTCTGTCAATTTCCCTTGTTTGAGTAGCTTTATTCTGAAAATGGGTTAAGTTTGTGGGTCAATAGAATGTGTGGATAAAAATTGTGTTTGACAATAATTTAAGCTTTGCCAAACATGCACGAGGTATAGGTTTCTGCTTTTGATGGATGGCAGCTCCTACAGAATCTAGTTAGGACAGTGGGTGCAGATGTACCATGTTCTTGTTTGTAGAAAGAAGCGGATCTTGTTGGTTTAACTCCCTATGGAGCCTGACATTTTCTGTGTCGTTATATTTCCAATCTTAAACAGACATGCAAAATTTAATAGTTGCAAATGAATTAAGAATTGAATAAGTATTTTTTCTTATCATTCTGACTAAATGCATATCCAAGCTCCGTTTTTTAATCTTTTGAATTCCTATTGTACAGCTTGGAGACTACATTGAGGAACTTTTCTTGCTTAACCACGGGGGATAGTATTATGGTGGCTTACAATAATAAAAAGTACTACATAGACATCATAGAGACGAAGCCTTCAAATGCAATAAGTATTATAGAAACTGATTGTGAAGTGGACTTTGCTCCTCCTCTTGATTACAAGGAGCCTGAAAAACCTGTCGCTTCTGTTCCAAAGGGCAAAGCACAGGCTGAAGGTGCTACATTTCTTAATTATTACTTTGTATTTTATTTCTGTTATATTTTTCTTTATCCACGCGTTGTCATTTTCAATGTTACAATAGAGTTTTCTATGCACCGTAGATTTTCTTATCCTGCAATTCATTCTTATCTGAATGCTTAGGGTCATTTTAAGCTCGTTGTTGGGTGCAATTTAAAATTTGGACAGTTGGCATGTAAAGGCCACCTTCTGACTATCAAACTCACCTTTATTTCCCTCTTTTGAGTGGTTTGTGCAGGTGAGGAGCTTCCAGCTGAAGAACCAAAATTCAATGCTTTTACTGGTGTTGCCAGACGCTTGGATGGAAGACCTCTGAAGAACCCAGCACCTCCGGTTTCATCATCAGGATTGAAAGACAGGACATCTGGTACTTCCAATGGAGCCGGGCAATCTTCCGCATCCAGTTCCAGTTCACAAAGCACTAACCGTCAGTCTCAGGGAAAGCTTGTATTTGGCTCAAATGCAAATCGGAATCAAGAAGCTCAGAAGGTCTCTCTCTCTCTCTCTCTCTCACACACACACACACACACACACACCCCCACGTGCTCGCGCTCTATTGTCTTAACTCCATTCATTGGTGTAAAAATCAACCGGCCAGCTCTCCGTCTCTTTGGCCAGGCAATGCCCAAGAAGGCAAGAATTACATCTTCATCTTCATCTTCATCTTCATCTCAACCTATTGTTTTTATACTGTAGGACACTCCAAAAGAGACAAAGCAGGAGCCACCAAAGAAAGAAGAGCCGAAGTTTCAGCCATTCTCCGGAAAGAAGTACTCCTTGAAGGGTTGATTGTGTATTAATCGAAGCCTTGAAATCATTCGCATGTTAATCTATGGTCAAAACTACAGTAATTATATTAGAGTGGAACATAGTGTGGTTAAAAGGTGTCCGACGGTTATTTCTTGTTTCAAATATGAAGAAATTATATTCTCTGCCCAACTTTATTTACCAGTCTCTTCTGCTCATTGTCATGCATGAATGCATCTTGCTTATTCACGCTAGTAGGCATCAACGAGACTTTGGCCACAGTTGGCCGAGTAATGCCCTCGCTTAGTTTCCTAAAGAATTGATTAAGCAAAGCTTATCATTTGATAAAATTTATTTCATCAATGTCAAGTGGGTAGAAAAACTCATTATGATGGTCATGTATTTAAACATTATATAACAGCACCTGCAACAATAAAAGTCACAGAGAAAAGAAAGAAAAAAGCAACGAACTGCATTCTTTTTCAGCATCCAGTGATTGCATAACAATCGAATTATCACATTACCAAATACACCCAAAAGCAAAAGGGATGAATAATTCACCATTGACAAACTCATACAAGATTTTGAACATCGTCAAATCAATCGTCGAAAATGTAGTTAATAAGATCTATACCTATTTCAACCTATAGTGCAAGTCTAGTAGAGAAGATTGAATAGCACTGGATTGTTAAAGTATGCTATGCAACTAGGTAAACAAGCTCACATAAGGGATGCCATGCTATTCTTCCAGCTAAAAGATCTTCGACTTGAGCGGGTAGGTGTGAAGCTAAGACCAAACATCTCCTTGAGGGCTTGCCCTTGCTCCGAGAACCCAATTAGCTTCGCCACAATAGCAGCACTCTTTGTATTGTGATCCATATCTTTAACATTACACCACAATTGTTGGACAAGCTGCAATCTCCTACGTTTTGAGTTCAAACTGATTCCCCATTCCTGGAAAATTCTGTTTCTTTCATTATCTGTGTATCTTTTATATACAAGCCTGCTCAGCATCTGCCTCTCCCGGCGAAGAGCTTTCTTGCTGTACCTCCAAGAAAAGGGGTATTAGTCAACTAATTTTGAGCTGTCAATCCAAGACAAAACATAATCTTATGTTTTGTGAAGTAATAAGAGGCACCAACCATGACTCCACAAATAGTGTTAATTCCTCATAGAATACCCCAAAATGGTCTCTCAACATTTAAAAAGTAGCAAATTGGTCTCCCACTGTCATTATAGTTGCATAATCAATAGCTAATAGGGAAGCTACAAAACCTAAATGATAAAGTTGGGCATGAGGCCAAATGACAACAAACTTGAAAGGTTTTTGTCGTGGGAGATTGATAGTACAACAGTAATGAGAGACTGGAGGATCAATGGTGCAATTTTCTCTAAATGTTACCATGCACTTATCATCAATTTTCAACCACGAAAACAGTGTGAATGGAAGAGGACCTGGATACCTTGATGCTAATGAAAGAGTGCGACCATTTTGGACTGATGGATTTCCATTTGAAAATGTCTCCTTCAGGAAGGACAGTCTCCTGTGCTCTACCTCAATGTAAATGGAATCTGTAAAGTCGCCTTTCAAAAGGAGGAAGAAATATGTCCTATGGACCAATGGAACATTGCAAGCTTGCCACAATTCAATTATCGATCTCCGCAACTTCTCAAACTTCAGGGGCCAATCTGAAGAAGCACCCAGAGAATCGTGCATTGTATCCAACCCTAAGTTACGAGCATTTTTTTCACCTCTCTGTCCCGTCTCTTGAACCTGGATATAAGAACTCGGTAGAAAGTTAGTAATTGCATCAAATGATCCCTTCGCAGCACTAGGATTCAGCTAACATGTATCTATCTCATTCAAAATGGGGGAACAGTGAGAAGCAGGAAATTTATTCAAAAATAGACTTGGTTATTAAATTAGGAATCTCTTACCTGGTTGCCAAGCTGTTCATACTGAAGCTTTGCCATCTCCTTGAGTCCTGCAACAAAAGAACCAAGGGTAGGAATATCTTCATCCCCTTGGATGCTATTCTGAGTTTTGAGTTCATCTATAAAACTACTACAGTCGGAGGATTGAGAATTGTTTCTGGAAAGTCTCGCAGCATTTGCACCATATATCGATGGGGGAAGTCTCCAGTGCTTTCTTTGGAAGCCTTCTGGTCTTCCTGGGAAGCTTCTCTCCAGCCCAGTAGTCGGGGTGGTTTCACTTAGTTCGGCTATGTCGAAGTCGGATGAGTTAGTCGTTAGATTATCTCTGCAACTCCAACTTCTTGTCAATTTCAGGCTCCCTGGAGCGGTCAAACTGATTGATGAGGATGCCCCTGGAGATAATTTATCTGGGTAAGGTATGACTAGTGAATCAATGGTCTTTTGCCCATCAAGGATTTTCTGCTCCAACGTTCCATATGAGTGACCATTGAGAATGCCACTAGATCGGCCAGGTAAGGTTTGCTGCAGCTCCTCATCCACATCATGGCCATTACAAGTATCCGACAAAGTTGATACTCTCTCTTCATTCTGATTTGTTGACCAGCCAGGTGATTCAAATGTTACATCTTGGCCAGATTCATCCATCTCAATGCATTGGACTTCCTTGCACATTTCTTCAGCATCTTCAACCATTCTTACTGAAGTTTCCTCTATTCCTTGACTTGTATCAGATATACTATCAGATGAAGAACGATCCAAACTGTTTTCTGAAAGCGGTAGATTCAACGTCCCATCACTCCTAATGTCTCCATTATGAAACCGATTTCCCTTAAGTTCCTTTGAAGTTTTATCATTTCCAACTGTTTGTAATAAATCTTCAATCCGAGAATGAGCAATATCTCGTTGCTTAGTTAGCTCCCTAACCTCTTTCTCCAACTGCAAATAGTAAGCCAGGCAAGTGCATTATTATACTGCACATTATTATAATGACTAGTCCCACTACAATTCACCACAACATAACTGAAATATGATAGCTCAGCATATGAATTGCCAGAAAGGAAAAATAAGGAGATGTATCATATGCATAGACAAGATTTTAAAGTTTGGTGACATAGATAGATGAAATGCATGCTTATGTTCAATTCATAATAATTCTATATGAGAAATGTGAGGAGACTTAACTGTCCTGAATAAATTGAACGAATCTCGACTGATAAAAAATATAGAGAGCTTTAATACTTAATCACTATCTAGGAAGTAACACTAGGCATTTCAGTTCTTAACTATTATTCACTGACCTATCAAAGTTGACCGTGCAAATGCAGAAAGCGCAAGGAACTTATGTAATCTAGATTGTCATTTTCATTAAATATTCAGCTTCATCTATATACTTAGTAAATATCAAGTTATGTAAAATCCATTTGAAGATGAAATCATAACCTTTAAAAACGGTTTAAAAAGGCAAGTAAACTAAAGAATTTTCCTCAGAAAGGAATTTTAACCTTTTGAATTTGCATGTCTTTCTTTCTTAGCAAGACTGCATGATCACAAGTTGGTCCTGGAACTCTTAACTCAGTCTCCAATCTGGCTACCTCTTTCTGCAGATGTTTCACCAATGCCTTATCAGACATCACCACATTGACCTGAGCATTTGTTGATACTTCCTTTGCACAGCTAGCAAACAAAAGGGTATTTCGTGATTGCTCAACATGGCTTCTAGCAGGGCTCAAGGTACAGATGATGGCAGTTCTTGCATTCCCCCCCAAGGCAGGCTGCAATATGCGTGTTAGCTTAGAGTCTCTATAATTGACGTGTCCGTGTCTTCCTTTGCTGCATTAAGTCATACTGAAAACATTACAGATTACAGGTCGTATAAAGCAGTACAACTATTATATCATCATGAAATTAGGAACATGAAACAGAAAGTTCTATGCCCTTTAAATTCTATATTGACTAAATCCCTCATAAATGATATCTTAGAGAGAAAAGGTACACAGATGCATACATGTTCAATATTATACTTCATGAGCTAAAAAAAAAAAAAAAAAGGAAGGAACCAACTTTAAATGAAAGAAAAAAGAAGCTCTATGTCAAGAATCAACTCATAAAGACATTATTTGTTGTTGGTTAGGCCCCAAAGGAAAAGATGGCAAAAACCACTTTGCATTCTCCAGATGATACCAGACTGCTATAAACATACAGCAATATTCAAGTAGCAACCTAGAACAAAAGAAAGATTAAAAAGGCAGAATTAATCAACCTTAGCTTGCGAATGACAGTCCCTAGAGTCAGTAAACTACGATTTATATGGCAACCTTCCTTCAGTCTTTGCCCAACCGATAATGCCTGAGATGCACGCTCACTTCCTGCCAGATCAACAAAATTCTGCAGGCAAAAATCAAATATCTTATCATGCAACGCTTCTAGATTTACTCAAACCATCAAAAGAATATCATCAAGCAATTTTAATCCACAAATTCAATTTTACAGTACCACGCTAGCAGCAAGAGCAGTTGAGTTATCCTTTCCTAGAAACTCACGAGCAGAACTTTCAATTGTCTGAAGAAATCAAACAAGGGAAGAATAAACTGTGAGACTTCCAAAATTTTCCATAATTTAAACACTAGAAAAGAAAGCTTAACCAAAAACGAAGATGAAAGAGAGGCAAACCAGTCTAAGAATTTGATGGGACCTAGAGCTAGTTTCATTCAAAGAGGTCTCCCCAATTTGTCTTTGTGCTGTGAGAATACAAGAAGAGTGTATAAAACATATGCCATATTGTTTTCAAATTTTTGAAGTGTAGCAGCGCTAATAAAAATATTAATCGCTATGAAACTCCCCTAACCTTCACATATGGATAACAACTCCTTGAGATGGTTCCAATCCCTCAAAGTTTCTTCTGTGAGTTTCTCTATAATAGTCCCTCTCTGCATATGGAAGAAAATAATTTGAGCCATAGATGTATTATAAGAGTACATTAATGATGTGACAACTCACCTCTGGGTCATCAAGAAGCCTTAGTGGAGCATTGTCTGTGCTAAGTAGATCTCTAACAACTTCATTATAAATTTCCACTGCAGAAAACTTAAGCACGAATGCTCTTTCTTCATGCTGGAAGAGATAAAAGAGAAATGTTACTTGAGAAGTCAAACAAATGGCATTTGGTTACATTAGTCAAAGTTAAACGTGCATTGCACATTATTTTGAAATATTTTATAAGTGCTGTAAAAGTAATATTTGTTATGATAGGCCTTGATTTTGACCTG